GAATGTTTTCATCAAAAACCTTAATTTCTTTTCGAATGAAGAAAGAAAGACATGGACAATTTGGATGAAATGGGGGTGAGTAAATTATCAGCAAAAGTCTTTTTCAAAAGTGAACTACTCCTTTAAGTAATAAGAGAGCTTTGTGCAAGGAACAAACCAACATTTTTTTTTTGTTATTATTGAGATCCACAGTTTATGAGAGTCATGACAGTCAAATCTTTTCAAATGAATCATCTGATGCTGTTCACAACACTACTGAATGAGAACTGATCCAGGTCTCATCAGTGAATGACAATATTTTGTACTATTTGGCACACAGAGGTATTGTATCGCTTGGAGGATGTGGTGCCACTTTTATCACACATTCATGGTGTTTTTGGATATCTTTTTAAACTTTGAAGCTCCATTCTCCTTTTGTGTACCATGAAGGAAAGTCTAAAGAAAGACAATGTGTGAAGAGGAGAAGAGCTTACTCTACATGAATTCCATATGCTTGTCCTCTCATGTCTCTGTATTCTTTCCAGTGAGGAAGATCAGTACGCACTGGGTATCGTCCCTCCTGTCGGATCACCTGTGCAAGCAGTTCTGCCGTCGCCACATTTACCACATCAAACGGCCCAAACCGTGAGCGCCAGATTGGACCATACAGGCGCTTGTGCTCCACCTGCATAATAGAATAGAATATCAGCAATTGTTTATCATACACATTGAAATATTTAGCTACAAATAATAGAGGGACAATCCCTCTGAAGAATGAGGTCGGTGTGTCATTCTGTTAAATGTTTAAATAGCCATTTTCATTTAATGCAGTGGTTCCCAACTCAGCAAATGCCCAAGGGGCTTCAAGATGACTTAAAATTACTTTTAATGCTTTTTTTAAGACTAAATAATAATAATATTTGGGTAACCAAAAAGGTTTTGGCATCGGTGTGAAAATCTTCATTTGGAATTTTTATTTTTAAGAGTGTATATATGTGTGTCAATCATTGTTTAGATGTAAATAAACATGATAAATTAGACCATCTTCATATAAATCGATTATATTTCTTCACGAGACTTAGGCAAAACCACTCAATTTAAGACGCCTTTATGGCCTTTTGGATCTTTCACAAAGTTTGTATTACCTGTACTTTCAATGTAATGAACTGAAGAAACTGCTCAAGAGTACCATCCAAATAAGGGAATGTTGAAATTACAAACAGTTATTAAACCACAAGTTGATATGTTGAGCGAGCATAGACTGTAAAAAAGGTTGAGCGCCACAAAGATAGCAATGTTTTGACCGAACAGTTTTCTGATTGGCCAAATCCCGTGGGTCGACTCATTTTCTTTTTGCTGTTTACAGGGGCAGACAGACACACAGAGATAAGTGACATTTCACAGAAACTCTGTTACAGGGATTTGTATCTGGAAGTGGGCACATTCTATCCGTGCAATGGCAGTCAAAAGAGACTTTGAATGCTCTGTAGTTTGACACATGTAGTTTGATAATGCAGAGATTAAGCCAACCTTTGGAATACAAGCCTGAATACATCTGACCTATAAAAATGTTTCTTCACGACAAGCTGTTTTAACCATTCCATAAAACTTAATCTCATGTTACTACTACCTTTTAAATTCTTATTTATTTCTTATTATACTTATTTATTTGTTACACGACACAAATTAAATATTAGGCACTATTGAATTAAATTATACAATATTTATTTATGCCTTTATACTTACCAGTAACTATTCAAAATAGTTTAAAATTTCTTTAGAAGTCTTGTGGAAGTCTTTTCTTTAGTATCTCTTGGAACTGGAAAAGTAACTAATTACTTTTAGATTACTTACTAGTGAATATAAAGCGCTTATTGCTACCAGTAACAGATGAGTCTAAAAGTTTGTTTTAAGGAATATACATGTTAAAATGGCTTTCCATAATATCTTCTCATTCCACGGATATCAGCTGGCAGTATCAGACAAGATTTCCAGTCTCCAAAATCAAAAGCTATTCTACAGAATGCGTTCAAAGTCAGAGTTGGAAACTTCTTGAATCTTTTTTCACAAATTGCGTGCAAATTGTACAATTTCCAAGGTACACATTTTTCTAGTAGCTAATTGTGCAGTTAATTACCATATTGTATTTTGATAATGTTTTGGAATATTTCCCTATTACACAATAATAAATAATTTAATAATAGGCTTATAGTGACCTATTCATATTCACATGTTCGCTAGAGCAGTGATGTTTTGGTAGCGACCACATTACATAACTTGAACTCGCATAGGCTACTAAAACACTACTAAGATAAATGATTTGCATAACTGAACTCAAATTTAGTTTATTTCCCTCAAATAAATGATTGTGTTCCCTTTGTCAATGACATTTCGATTATGTTCCATTAGTGATAATTTTAGGATTGCCAGGATGACGTTAACATAATAAAAATGAAACGTTATTCCTTGAAGCATACATGCACAAATGGTTTGTTTGTCTCAAAATTGTGCTAGTTAAATATATTTGTATAACTGAATGAACATTCAATCTATTAATAACCGTTTACATCTTAAAAACACACCACAAAGAAACACCAGTTTACATTAAGCAGCTGTTTTGCGTACTTGCAAATTCAAAACAAATGCAAACACATTTTGCACAAAGAAAAAAGTGTGTTTTACCTGCATTGCATGACTTTTATCAGCGTATCCTTTAACGAAGAGCCAGTATGCGGTTGTGGCCAGGCTGGGTCCCGGAAGATCATCGATGGTTTTGTATTTCCCCGTCACTGTTGCGCTCTGCAAGTCTACATGCCCTGTTTGAGACTTTAGGGTCCGTGCGATCAATTCCTGGAATGGCGCATATTTTCTACCGAGAGTTGCGATACGTTCAGCTTTCACTAGAGCAGAAGACAACATGTTTGACTAGTGTCGCTAAAGCTATCTCTGAATCTGGTCGGACGCATACCAGCATATAGTTCATGTCAAGATATTGGGCGGGATTTGTTTTCAGCTAAGTTATGCCTCTGGGCTCTAAACCTAGTGAGCCGCCTAACGTTAAGTTACCTCAACTTGAAACGGGGCAGGGTGTTTCTGGACATTTGGACATCATAGGTGCGCTGTCGAGGTATAGTCCTGTCATTTTAAGCCAAAATGGAGGTCAACTTAGAACAAATTGCAACAGAAGCTCTTCTGTTTCTTCAACAGAACTCTTTGTATCCTCAATATGTCACGAGGGGAAACAGCCCCGAAGAATTCCATTAGTAAGTTTCGAAAAAGACCCAACGCCTATTCCTTTTCTCACGTGAATAGGCCAGGGTAAAGATTTTAAACTTTAGATATCACCATGAAAATTACTGAGTTTATTACTACTAGACAAACAGTTATGTTTGTAATAACAGGCCAACACGTTTGTTATAACAGGCCAACACGTTTGTTTGTTTGTTTTTTAAATAAGTTTGTTAACATGGGCAAACGGTGCATAATCTAAACGTCTGTGCTAATTAGCATAAATACCACAAAAGATTGTCTTGTTGAATCTTGTTGACATATAACAGAAAAAAACAATGTAAAGGTCTGGGAACCCATTTAGGCTAACCATGAGCTTTAATTCATAAAAGGTAGGAAGAAGTAATTTAAACCAGCCTTTATTAAACTTGTAAATACATTTTTTGTTTGTCTTGATGCAAACGGTTAAAACTTGATGCAAAAATGTTTACCCTATTCATATGAGAAAATATTTGGGTCGTTTTCCAAACTTTCCCCATGGGATTCCTCTGAGCTTTTCCCCCTTTACTCAGGATTGAGGAAACAAAATCAGTTGAGCTTGCTTCTGTTGCAATTTGTTCAACCTTTTTTTTATAAAATGACTGGAGTAGGTAGGTGTAACTGTTTGAAGGTATATTACACTTTTGAGTGGTAATGTTTTAGCTGTTTACCCTACATATTTTCTACTAAGGTATATTTAAAGAATTTAATACTTTTATTTCATCAATGTGGCCAAAAAAAGTAGAGGAAAGACATTTATAGTGTTACTATACACTCACCTAAAGGATTATTAGGAACACCATACTAATACTGTGTCTTTCGCCTTCAGAACTGCCTTAATTCTACATGGCATTGATTCAACAAGGTGCTGAAAGGATTCTTTAGAAATGTTGGCCAATATTGATAGGATAGCATCTTGCAGTTGATGGAGATTTGTGGGATGCACATCCAGCACACGAAGCTCCCATTCCACCACATCCCAAAGATGCTCTATTGGGTTGACTGTGGGGGCCATTTTAGTACAGTGAACTCATTGTCATGTTCAAGAAACCAATTTGAAATGATTTGAGCTATGTGACATGGTGCATTATCCTGCTGGAAGTAGCCATCAGAGGATGGGTATATGGTGGCCATAAAGGGATGGACATGGTCAGAAACAAGGCCGTGGCATTTAAACGATGCCCAATTGGCACTAAGGGGCCTAAAGTGTGCCAAGAAAACATCCCCCACACCATTACACCACCACCAGCCTGCACAGGGGTAACAAGGCATAATGGATCCATGTTCTCATTCTGTTTACGCCAAATTCTGACTCTACCATCTGAATGTCTCAATAGAAACCGAGACTCATCAGACCAGGCAACATTTTTCCAGTCTTCAACGGTCCAATTTTGGTGAGCTCTTGCAAATTGTAGCCTCTTTTTCCTATTTGTAGTTGAACAGTAGCGTACACACACACACACACACTCATACTTTTTATATATTATATATAGTATATATATATATATATATATATTTTTTTTTTTAATGAGATAAGGATGTTAAAAATATAATTTATAGATATTGCACTCAAATAGCAATTTCTAGCTGTAAAAATATTTCACAGCTGAAACATGCTCCAAATTTCCAAGACTTTTTCTGTACTTTCCCTAATAATTTTAGGCCTTCATTGAGATCTGAACGTAATTGATAATTGAATTGAGACACAGCTCACTGTATAATCTTAATACCAACATCAATATAGCACCATGAAATGTGAAATAAATATCTTTTATTATTTATTTTCATCGTCATTAGCAACACTTTACAAAGTGCCAGCCGTCATAGACAATCTCATAATGTCATCCTGCAAATAGCCCGATCAGTGCTGCCATCAGCAGACCACAGAGATGCCAATCATGCGTAGAATTTGAGTTTAAAAAAAGAGAAAATAAAAATATATATATAAAAAAAATATGCGTACCACTGATATACAGATTTTGATATAAACAGGCTTATTGGTCACAAACCAAATTGAATTATAAACATGGCTTTTCTCATACAATAGACAAAGAGAACAAACAACAGATACAAGTTCTGTACCAGATAAGTGTACTGTCTACAAAAACGTACATTTCAGAGTTCATATCTTCTTTTGAATTTCTTTTTTTTATAACTTTTCTGTCATCGGTTGTACAAGGCGCAAGGCATTGAGTGCGCTGGCAATAATCTCACTCAATCGGCACACAGAAAAGGAGTCTCTTTGAAACACAGACAAACACATACAGACACACTCAGACAATATAACACCCACACAAACAAATACAAAGTGCATTCATGACCCTGGAGTGGCAGCAGTGGCGTGTTTGAGTTGACGGAGAACTTCCCGTAATCACTTATTATCATAAATTAAACAGAATGCATTCTGCAGCTACGGAACTCTATTGTTAAGTGGAGAGATATTTTGAAGAAGAAAAAAAAAAATCCAACATTTTATATACAGGCAAATAGTTCTATGATTCCACCTAGTGGAGGAAAAAGACATATCTGACATTACATTCCAGTAGGAAGATTCCCGATTTGCATTAAACCATCCTCTAACCAGGATACCAGTCAGTTTCTTTGGCACTGGTCAGCATTTAGACATATGGCTCTCATTTTTAAAATCTGAATTCATAAAAGAACCAGCCATCGTTTGTGTGTGTTCATTTCACAAGGATGAGAGCATAGCGCTGGCACTGACAAGAGCCAAATGTGAGCCTCAGAGAGTGACCATGTGACCAACTTAGCCAACAAAGCTGGTAACCAGGGCAACCGTTTTCTCAGATTCTCAACAAGCATTCAGACTCACACAAGATCGCTCAAAAACACACACGCAAAATGACTGACGAACACTGGCAAAAGTATTAAAATCAGTGTAAAAATCAAGGTCTCAAAATGTGCAAACATTTCAGCATCAAAAGAAAATGAACAGTACATACATTACAAACATACACTGCCTACTTTACTTGTAGTATGTCTGTACACCATCTGAAATGGTAATGCTTTCGCTGCTTAAATGAAAATAAATGTGGATTTAGTTCTACGAACTGGCACTTTAAACCTATACAGAGCAGAAATTTAGCTCATTATACTGGGTGCGGAGAAATTCCTTCAAATACTGCCACAGCAACCCAAGGTTGGCAACACATGGCATCAAAAAAGAAAACCAAAATAAAGAAGAAGAAAAAAGAGCTGCACGGGGCTTACAAAGTGGGCCTGCCCCCTTTTTTTAAATGGCTGTAGGCCAAGTTTGGACTCGGATAGAGAACTGGTCTGTGTGAGCGGGTCTTCCATGTTTTTCGTTCCCAGTTTTCACGATCTGGAACAGCCACATGAAATCATTCCAAATTAACTCAACACAATGGAGGTAGACTCTCTTAGTCACCAACAAAAAACAAAACCGTAAACGTTTGCTTGGAGTGTAATCATACCGTCTGAGTCCCGTTACTATAGCTGTACCTACTGACAGCAAAAGCTAGTTTCTATATTAGCACAATCTTTTGGCCTGGCGTTCATACAGGACACGTTCTTGTGTTAAAACAACACAACAGATCCCATTCAACCAGAATGCGATTTAAGACATGCTCATTGGTCCATTGTTTTAAAACGAACAATGATCCGTGGACACATGGGTCAATGCTAAATAATGATTATTAAAAACGTACTTTTTGTTGGTTTCATATGGCTAAACGTTCACACAGTCTTACCAATAACTCTTCAAGTTAAACAGATTTTTAATTTAATACTAAAGCTTGTATTAAAGTAAATATCATTTTACTACCTGAACTAACCTGTCATAAAAATAAGTATTATCATAAATGATATCATATTTTAAGAGACTTGTTGACCTTAGCACACAGTCATGATTGTGCAAAGGCCCTCTATATGGTATCGGCACGTTGATTTCAGCACGACTTTGCTTTAGCCATTGAACAACCGTTTAAATATTAAAAAGAAGTGTCTTTTTTCATCATTATGACATCAGGATAGACATATTTGATAGTATTCTCCCAAAAATATATATCAAAATCATTGTTAACTCAGAAGTTAAAAGTATTCTCATTACACTATGTGCTAATGTAATATAGGAGTATGTCATTGAACCAAATGTATAAATTTGACCAATAATTTACAGATTTACACACAAGACCGTGTCCTGTTCGAACGTGTTCTGTAAGCAAGCAATATGAAATCACTGCTTGAGCTTTAATTGTTCGTTACCATTATATGACTATTAAATGACGTGTGTGTTAAATTACAAGTACCATACTCTATATTCATATTTATGAGAGGGGAAATCTATAACCTTTGAATTGGGAACGGCAGTTTGTGACGAGGCATATAGAAAACAAACCCAATGGATTATGGGAGGAACAAGGGTGACCCCCAAAAATGCACGTATTCACCGACATGAAGGCAGGCACTACAGCACTACGTGAAGGAGAGATCTTGAACAGCAAATGCACTAGCAGAGAGTGTGTAACCAAGTGCTTCACAAGTCCCAAGGCATCGTGGGATAGCGAGGTTCATTTACAGGCAAACCGCCAAGAACTGTCAAGTGCTGAGAATTGTTATGATCTGTGAAAATCTGCACATTCTGAAACCTGCAGAAATACATCAGAGTGAGAAACTCTTATGAGAGCAACACTGCTGATGAATTACAACATCAGACTTCTGGTATGGAAAACATCAGCAGAAAGGATCCTGGTTGTGTTGTGTTGACTGGAAGTGCACTTACAGTTTTCACTTTCTTGTTGAGCGCAATCCATTTCTCTATTCCAATCTAACGCCCTATGCTATTGAGATTTCTAGTGGAATCAGAGCGATTCATACTGTAAAATGTTGGTGAACTCATGTCCAGGCACTAAACCCGGCCTGTGTGGTTCAGGTTTTTCGCTTTGGTGAGTGAGTGTGTATTCAACCTGCCTACCTGATCAGATTGAAGTGTACGGCACTGTGTTGAAAGAATGCACAGGTGAATCTGACCCGAGATCAGTTTGCCAGCAGAGGGACCAAAAGGGGAAAAGGCAGAGCGGAGCTGCTTATGCTGATCTAGAAACAGTAAGAAGAGCCGAGCTGTTCTAAAGAATTCCTGTACGGACCAAAAGTCAGAAAGACTTGTGAGTAGCTGTGCATTAAACCTAGAAAATTCTAGAAAAATGATTGGACACTTAAGACAGAGCAGAATACAATAAAACGAGGAAGGAGATGTTTGTAAAAAGGCACACAGTAAAAACAGAAACGGAGCAGAAGGTTGAAAGGAACGGGTACAAGAGATCCTGACGAGTTCTAGAGCTGGAGAGAGTGGCTGCGATCGGAAGGTGAGAGAGAGTTCAGCAAATGTAAATGTTCTTACAGCATAGTGAGTAAATATTCTACAGTAGGATCTTCGATCAGAGTTCATGTACGTGTGTGTGTGTGTGTGTGTGTGTAGGTTCTAGGAGGACTGTGCAAGAAAATGAGAACTTTTAGGAGCCATGACAGCTGAGCAGGAGAGTCCCATACATCCTGTCATCTATTCGGTTTCATTTCATTTTTTTTTTTTTTTTCCTTTTACCCTTTAGCAGCGTATTGGCGTACCTGTTCTGGGGTTGACATTCCGAGATCTTCCTGCATTAACCCAGTGCATCCAGAACCCAACAGGACTCCCCAGAGCCAAGGCTCACAATCATGGGGGATTGTAAAACATTAAAAACAAAGAAATGAAAGTCTTTAAAAGACAACATCCTTTAGTCTTTTGGGGTACCGATATCCATTAGTCTTTAGGGGTACTTACCCCAGAGTGAAATTAAGGTGCAATGTTTTCGTACGGAGTCAAGCTGCTCCAAATCACCGTCCTGCCCCAGCAGAGGTGCGAGATTAGGCCATTGCCCTCTTCGCTATGCGCTCTGGTCCAGTGGGGGGCTCTTAGGCCTGCTGGGAGGAGTCTAAAAAGGGGATGGTCCTGTAGACACTTATATGGAAGTCTCTGATTGGTCAGAGATGGAAGGTGGAGTGGCTAGTAGACAAAAGTGTGCCGCAATAGGTCCTCAGCAGCGGGACGCTGTTTAGACTCCACAAAAATCCGTTTAAGGAAATCGCGGCAGTGGTCCGACACGTGAGGCGGCAGAGTGGGGTTAGTGGGCTGTGTGGCGATTTTAAAAATGGCTGCCATTGCTTCGTACTCCGCCCAGGGCGGCCGCTGAGTCAACATCTCCACCACGGTGCAGCCGATGCTCCTGGAATCAGGGCGGAATTACCACCATTAACGTGAGACGCACAAAAGATGAAACGTTTACAATAACATTGAAAAAAATTTAATTTAAAAAACACAATGTGGAGGAATTTTCATGCACACTTTAAGGGCTTACCAGATATCAGCTTTCCTGCCATACCCTTCTCCGCTGATGACCTCAGGACTCATCCAGTACGGTGTACCTGTCACTGACTTGATGCCCGTACCAGACAGGCAGATGGTCTGAAGCCGCCGACTCGCTCCAAAGTCACCCAGCTTCACATTACCCGCAGAGTCCCGAAGGATATTGGCACCTACATGAATAAAAGAAGAGGGAAACATTTTTTTCATTATGACCTGACAAAGTTTCAGCTCAAAATAACCCACAGATCATGTTGTAAATGCACCTTTGTCAGTGAAAGCTAAAAATATGCTGTTTTTGAGCATTTATCTTTAAATGCAAATGAGCTGCTGCTCTTCACCCCCTGTGCCTTTACACCTCGTGCCTGGATACTCTGCCAAATAGTAATAAAACAACTGTTTGGTTTTTATTATAAACTCTATCACACGTGACATTGCAGTTGTTCATGGAAGTTTATGTGTTTTAAAGCCATTTCATTTTAAACTTCTGATACATGTTTTTTTTTTTTGAGCGCACAGAAAGCTGGCTGTCAGATGGCGAATCCTGCGAGTATTAAACTAATTTCCCTTTTGCATCTTATTGTGCTTAAATTGTCAAAAACACAAAAGTTCACAAACACAGCCGGTCATGTATGTGATTGTACACAGCAGGGAAATAAATTGCATGTGTATATTAGATCTGTGTATTAAAGTGGCAGCAGTCGAATGTACAGTACCTCCTGCTATATATGCTGTTAATATGAGTCAAACAACAGAAAAAATACAGAAAAATCACTCACTGCTCTTGATTGAATAACTTAAGTAGCTTTAAAGGGGTTCTATAGTGCCCTTTTTACAAGATGTAAAATAAGTCTCAGATGTCTCCAGAGTGTGTACTTATTTGCATGTTAAAATTGTCACTTTTTTAGGGTGAGCAAAAACGTGCCGTTTTTGTGTGTGTCCCTTTAAATGCAAATGAGGTGCTGGAGCTTCAAATGCTTGTGTGTTAGCAGCTCTGATTACCTCACAGAGAAACACACTGAAAATGTCATAAACTTTTTGCCTTTTATGTCGGACAAAGATGGAGAGAATCAAGAAGTGACAACATGTAGAATGCAACAGGACATTTCTGAATGGTTAGTTGATGAATTTATGTAGCTGATGTGGAGTTAACTATCTTCGAGTCATTCTAGTCTCATGATAATCTGTAAATCGCTTGTGTGGGAACTGTTGTAAGATGCATACACTGAGCTAGAGAATACATGCTCCATGAAGATAGAACAGTGTTGTGTGTTCCTGGGGGCAGGGTTTATGTACATTTTAGGTTTAGTAACTCATGAAGAAGCTCGTTTTTGTAGTCCCTACCAGTTGTTTGACGTAGTCCTTAAAGCAATTTCTTTAAAAGAAAATGTCTCCCTTTGGTTTGAACTTTAAGCGTTGTATTTTTCTTTCAGATTTATGGGGAAATTAAAACAGAGTGGAGGGATTTTTACAATAAAGTGTGTACACACTGCGGACACATAAATATGTTCAAAAACAATATAAAAAAAGAAATTCGCATAATAGGTCCCCTTTAAAATAATTTTGAATATTCTGCTAATGTACAATGCAGAAGCACTGAAAGATTGAGACATTAAAAGAAAGTCTAGTTAGCAAGTTAAAAACAAGGATGATTGCTATGCTTTCATTATTGCAGAAACCATTTTTATTATTGCAGAATATGCAATTCAGCTTGTCATAACTGACAACATCAGGGCATGCAGTTGGCTCACCTTTGATGTCTCTATGTACAATCATGTTACTGTGCAGGTAGCACACGCCCTCTAGTATCTGCCGTGTATATTTACGTGTGACATTCTCCGTCAGAGCACCGTACGACTTCAGCTGGTCTTTAATGGAGCCCTATGGACAAATATTTAACATTCCATAATTAAGACAAAATATTAGCATCCTAACATGTCAAACTTTCTCTCACAAAAATAAAAAGTTGACAGGCTGACACAAATCCTTTACTAAATGAACTCACTGAATCGATTGGGGCAGTTAAATTAACATCTCATTAAAGGGTTAGTTCACCCAAAAATCTTCCAAACCTTTGTGTGTTTGTTCCAAACCTCTATGTGTTTATTTGTTCTGCTGAACACTTCCAAATATCTTCCTTTGTGTTCAGCAGAACAAATAAACACATAGAGGTTTGGAACAACATGAGGGTGAGTAAATACTGACAGAATTTTCATTTTTGGGTGAACTAACCCTTTAACTGTTTTTTTTTTCAGTCATGTCCAACTTGTGAAGAACCAAGAGCTATCAGTGTGATGTATATGTACTGTTTTTGAGATTGACAACATTAATTAGGTGTATAATTACATTAATTATGTAATTAGGAGCTAATAATATTTTAATTTTAAAAATACTATCGTTTAGTTAAGGAGCTTCCACATGGCAAAAACTCTAAGGGGAAACAATCAGGGCTCAAGAATGTGTGTTCCAAATCAGTGAATTAAAATGCACTTACCCCAGGCATGTACTCCATAAAGATAGAAAGCGTTCTTTCATGCGTGTCCCGCAAGCAGCCATAGTACTGAACAATGCGCTCATGGAAAAGATTTTTCAGCAGCTGAATCTCACACTCCAGAGCACTCACCTCCTGAACACACACAAACAAAGTGAAAAAGTTCACTAAACACCAAATTTAAAGGCATCTACCTTACAAAGCCTGAAAAAAACTGTTCACCTTGCTGGTTTCTGGACTATCCGGGTCAAACTGAACCTGTTTAACTGCCAGTTCTCTGCCTGTGTCCGCATCGTAGCATAGAAACACTCGCCCGAACGCTCCTTGCCCCAAAAGCTTCCCTAGACGCCAGTTTGTAGGAGCTCGAGGGGCTAAACACAGAGAAGAGAGAAGATTAATCCAAGAACAACACAACTGTTTTTAACCAAACAATTTAAATGACTTTTCTACCGGATTTGTAATTTATAAAAGGCTATACATTTTCAGTAATTTATAGCTGAGTACAGTAGGTTAAGAAATTTCGTAGGACAGGAGATATTACTGGTTGGTTGCACATGTACACTACATTTAAAACGTTTGGGGTCGGTAAGATGTCTTCAATGTTTTTGGAAGAAGTCACAAGGCTGTGTTTATTTGATAAAAAAAATACAGCAAACTAGTACAACACAACTGGTGCCCTGCCCTAAATCCTTTCAGCCCTAAATCCACTCACAGCGGCTGGGAGGGCTGATGTCCATGACTGATAGAGTAGGGTTAGAGCTGGGCTCTATATCGCTGCCACGGCGTCTGCGGCCTGGTTCCTCTAGGTCAGGAGTGAAGATGCTGCTTCCACTGCTAGTGCTGGGGCTCTGCTGCTCTGTAGGACTGAAGCTCACCGGAGAACGGAAACCATGAGCCTGTGTCCGCCGCGCCCTCGGAAAGGTCTTCCGTCCTGAGTGGAGAAAGAAGATCTAATTTAGGAACAGCACGGGCAAGAAAGAGGACTAACGCATCCGTTTATACAATATAACCTCACCATCGCTGTAGTCCTGCAAACCAAACGAGATGTGATATCGCCTAGGATAGGTTCCTCCCTTCCCTGTTTTTTCAAACACTGGTATATCATACTCTGTGAAACAGCAGCACAGAAACATGACCGATTGAGGAATTCAAACTAACGTAAGCTCTCGTGTGACATCAAAGCAGAATGGTTAGCAAGAGCTTACCAGGGAACTCTTGATGGTTATCTGGGTAGCTCAGGGCTCGAGGCATTCGAGATTTGGGATAGGTTTCACTGTAAGAGATGCAGTGAAAGTGTCACTCAGTAATCTTAATCTAAGTACAAACGTGAACTGCACACTACTGTTCAAAAATGTGGGGTCAGTGAGATTTTAGGCTGAATTATTCATTTAAAAACAAGGTAAAACAGTAGTATTGTGAAATATTATAAAATTTAAAATAACTCTAAATTAATCCTATTTTAATATACATCGAAATTTAATTCATTCCTGCAATTGCAAAGCTGAATTTTTAGCAGCCATTACTGTAGTGTCACACAAAATCGTTCTAATATGATGATTTGGTGCTTAAGAACATTTTTATATTGAAAACAGCTGTGCAGCTAATATCTTTTTTGGAAACCATGATACGTTTTTAAAAAAATGACATTATTTATTTGAAATAGAAATCTTTACATTATAAGTAGAACTATTACTTATGAACAATTTCATGCACCTAGGCTGAAGAAAAACAAAATCTTACTGACCACACACTTTTGAACAGTAGGGTATGTCTGTGAGATCAAAAGTTTCTGTGATTGTCACTGGATGCCTGGTCATGTCATGTGGCATCCTGACACAGGTTAAAAGAATCCTATTAATACAAGTTCAAATCTACCAACAAAATGCTGTCAAATTTCAGAGAAAATACATGAACTCATCATTGAGTTTGTAAACAAGCACAGCTTGCATTTACAGTAATCTACCTATACAAGACGCCTATCGACAAGGCACTGATTTCTGCAAAATGGCTGCAGGCACGCATCAGTTAGTTGTTTACCTATCAAGTGGACTGTCCAGGGAAGGACAGCTGCCTGATGCTGAATTCTCAGGACTGCTCATAGACAGAGGGTCCAGCATCTAAAGAGAGAAAGACAGAAAACGATAAACAAGCCATCAGGACACTGGACACGGACACTTGGTTTAGTACACCCACATCAACCAAACCAGATGTGTTATCAGACTATGTACCTGGTCCATGCTCTCTGGAATGAACTCGCCCTCACTGTTGATGCTGGTGAAAGAGCCGTTTCTGGCCACTTGCTGCAGAGCATCAGGAATATAGCCTGGAGGAGGAGAACTACGATCGGTGGACTGAGAACCTGAAGAGGGAGAGGACACAGACACAGAATGCTGTTTAAAACGTCATTTATGTTGTGGTTTTAGTTGAAGAAACATCATATGCACTTGAATAATCTGAACAGAGTAGTTTCAGGTTTTTTTGGAGCAGTGAGGTTGAAAAAGTATCAGTCCAGTCATTTAAAAGGTATTTGATAAAAGATTTTTAAGTCATCATTAAATGCATGTTGCAGTAGTCTTTTCATTCCTATTGTGACGTATATACAAGTGAAAGATTTTGTCCATCAGGATATGATTGGATCATCATTGGATTAGTTTGCTACTGCAACGATCTCATGTGAGTGACAGGTTATCCTGCCCTCAAGCCAGAAAACATGTCATCAGAAGAGAAGAGATGTCGCTGCAAGTGGGAGGGGAAACTACTTTGATTACTGATTAAGAGGTCACATTAATTAAATTTTTTATTGTCAATTGCGATTTTATGTTGACTGAGAAAAATTCACCAATGAATTGTGCACAATAAAGGCAAGAACATAAAATGCAGAAAGTAAATTTCGGTTTTATATTGACTTCATGACAAGGATGCAGTTCAGAAACACTGAATGCAACCCACCTATGAGTGCCAGCATGCTCTTTTTATCTGCAGCACTGAAGTCTGTGTTGTCCAAGTTCTCATGAGCAGGCAACATGTCTTTACTGGAGACAGAATTCTGAAAGCGCAAGTGGTAAACATCTAGATTACATTTAAGGCATTTAGCTTTTATATTAGATCACAGGTCTCGGACTAACACTTTCTCTCTGGGCATGTTTTATAATGATCACTGACCTGAGTGCAAGAGGGGAGCACCAGCAAGATTTTCAGGCTCTTCATATGCACTGAACGATCCAACAGCTCCACAGCTTTATCCAGATCATCCTGAGTACGCAATGGAATCACAAGCTACAGGAAAGAGAAAAGGTAAATCGTCAGGAAAACAAGAACTATGGCAGCCATATATCAAAACATTATAATAAATACAATATATCTTAGATGTGATAAAGCTGTGGATTCTGTTACCTCATTATTGGTGTAATGCAGGTCCATGCTCTGCCCAAACGCTACTTTAGCTTTGGCGCTCAGATCTTCCAGACTGACAGGTCGAGGGAACTGTAGGATCCTTAAGTAACAGATAATACATTATAAATCATCACACCATCATATTCTACTTTAATACAATCAATCAAAAAGTTCCTTCAAATGCATTCTGTCTGTAATTATAATAATTGCATCATTGGCACCATATTAAAGTTATAGTGATTACATGAGAAATTCAAAGAAAAAAAGAACATTATTAATTCAAGGAGTCTTTTTTTGGCAGTTTTAGGTTCTTAGCCTTTATATACATGCACACAACCACATGACAACTACATCACTAATTTCTTTAGTTCATTTGGCTTAGAGCAAAACATCTTGTGTGAAGTGATCCTCAAGGACTGGGAATAAAAAACGCAGGTTTGGACAAACTAAAACAACATCCATTACACTGTGACTACAGGGCATGGTCGGACAGGTTTAATTACAAGAAACCTCAAGAGGGAAGTGATAAAAATAGGAAGTGGAGAGCAGAAGAGCAGAAGTAGGGCTTGTGGTTATTACCTCTTCTCTCCTCTGTACTCAAACTTCACCCGTACGTCATTCTGTGGAGAAGCAAACACAGTTTACACGCATCTCCATGCACATAAATCATACTCACAACTGACTGATTAGGACTGGGAAACCCACTGCATTGATTTTAGAGGACTTTTTATTTTCCCTGCGACTACATCATTAGATTAGTTTCACATTCGTTCCTTGGAAAGATGTTTTAATGATGCCTCTTATTGAAACTTCAGTATAAAAAGGGGATTAAAGTAGATGAATCACGAATCAGTTCAAATTGTCCATGTGGTATATTAATATATTATTCAAATGTTTGTTTTTGTAAAAAGTATATTTAAAATATTAAAATGTTTTTTTTGAAAACTTTATATTGGTGAATATATTTATATATAATATTATGGCTATATTATAGTGTATAAAATAATTGTATAATGTTGAACATTATGTAAAATAAAGCAATGAGGTAATATTTGTGGGTCCTGACAAAAATAAAATGATAATATTACTTTAAGAATAATAACCAGAATAAAAAAGATTCGGATCACAAGTTCAGTATCATGACTTGTATTGGTTTGTGAAATTAGTGTATTGTTACACCCCTGAAACAGAATGGTTCAATTTGTGCTACTGAATTTATTTTCAGTATTTTACATTTTACATTAAACATTTTGAATCTACTTAGGCTCAGTTCCTTAGATGGAAGAAAGTATACATAAATATTGAGAAAACTATTGCATATTTTTAAAAAGCTGAAAATTACTGAGACATTTTAAAGTCAGCATGAAATGGAAATTGGCATAGTCTTTTCTTCCCTATTTTGAAGTATGAGTGAAACAGCTTCTGAAATGAGAAAATCGTAGGGTGGGACTTAAATTTCGCCCTTTTTGTCCCTCCGTCCTTCAACTGATTGTCTCGTAGGAAGTTGGGTGTTGCTAACTAACTGGAAACAGATCTGAATGCCACTTTGCAGTCAGTTGTGGAGGATATTCAGGGGTGAAAAGAGTACGGAAAAAATATACTCAAGTAAAAGTACCATTAGTAGTGCGAGTAGAGTAAAAAGTACTTGTCCAAAGGTAAGAGTAGAAAAGAGTAGCTTATTTAAAAGCACCCCGAGTAATGAGATGAGATTCGGATTCTGCCCCCTTATAATAAACACTTGCTTAGCCAGAATCGACTTAATGTCGAGCAACTTCGGAAGCGGAGCCAGACGCAAAGATACAAAAAAAAATGGCATCCACACGCCACATGAAATGGGGTCCAGTGCACTCAACGTGCGCAGCCGCCCATGACGTCATTTTTGCAGTACACACCATACACTCGTGTGGACGTGGCGAGTATAAACCAGGCTTAACTCTATCCCACAGTATGTGTAAGTGGTTTGCCTGTGTACACTGACTGATGTCATCATCATCCCCCTTATTCAGCGGTGGTCTCATTTACAGTACATGCTCTGTTTGCAAGTGACATAAGAGAGTATTAATGATTTATTAGGCAATGTTTAGTTGACGTTTAGCTCTAACTAATTTCTCAGGGGGAAAAACACTGTCAGCAGCTGGTGCTGATGTGAATTACAATAGAGGCAATGCAAACCTGATTCTTTGGAGAAGAGGCCTTGGGTTTGCTCAGGTCAGACAGACCAGATGGTCGACTGGACCGATGCAGCACCACCAGGTCTTGCATGATGGAATTCAAGGCCTCCTGTTCATCTGCAACATATTAGTAATAGTATAACAAATTCTCAATATAATTATTATTTACGCTCCCACTTTATAGTAAGTGTCTTTAACTACTTCATACTAATGCACTTGTGTTTTACATTGCATATACATTTAAAAATTCCTACTTGTAATTACAGATCTAGTTAATTACACTGTTAATCCACCCTTAAACCTAACCATAATCGTGTCAATAACGTTTTTTTGCAGTACAGAGTACATTAACCATTTTCTTTAGATGCAAGTATATAGCAGTTAAAGACATTACATCATTTGTACTACTAACAATTAACAAAATAAAAAAATTCTGTATTCTGTTTAATATTTACAGAGTACATACCCATTTTGACAGATCACCGGTTCACCCAGGAGTAAAGGAAAGAGGATTCATCCATGAAATGGGATCCTTTCTCCTGTACAAGAGAACAATCCATTTATTACATATATAATTGCATTAATTAATAATGAAATAATTCAAATATTTGTGACAATAAACCATTGTCGATCTATTAAGACTGGTAAAACCTCTGGCACCATATTGTTCTAAAAAAAAAATCTTTACATAGCAGCACATTACAAACCAATGCTTTGGTCTAGGACAAGTATTACCATTTTTCAATATGTCCAATCTCTCATTAAAAGACCCAGCTAGTGTCATTCAGCAAGCAGCTGTCAAAATCTGAACTGAATAGGGCAGGCTGCCTGCCATAGCTTGTCTGACCCTGAGGTGTTTACACACACAGAAATATCTAAGGGGTATTAAACTCCTAAATTCAAGACAACTAAAGTACAAGTAAACATCAATATCTTAGATAAATAACTTATCAGTGCATGTCATAAGTCAAGACAATGTCTTACCACATTTATGACTATGTATGATAGTTTAAGTAAAACATAATAGCAACTCAAAAAATTACATATATGACAAACAGTAAAAGGAAATGTCAGTTAAAACTCTAACGGCACCCAAAGCTAATAACCAAGCTAACTAACGTAGATAGCATACATAACGTTACCTGTCAAAACTATGACAGGTCAAAGTAGCCAAATGCGATGACATGCTGATATATAATCAGGACAGAATAACATTTAGGCATTCGATTTAGCCTTGTCTGGAGCACGACACAAAGTTAAAAAGAACTTCAATTATATTTATAAACACAGTTAGCCGCTTAGCTATATAGGCCACATTAGCATTGCGTCAGGATGCTAACAAACCGCTTCGCGCTTTAACAGCTAACAGAGAGATTCTTACAGACTTATCTGAATAAAATGTCTTTGTTATGCAGTCACCTAATAAAAAGTATAAATAAAGAGCATTTTAATCACCTGGGTGAGCTCGGTCCGTTCACTTCCTCATCCACAGATATGAGGCCTCGATACGAATCTGACACTCAAATAAATGGCTTTAACTTCAGTCCAAGGCCTGGCTAAGCGGCCAAATCATCTCGCGCTGACTCAAACACACTTTAAAGGCAAGTGAAAGCCTCTGACGATGATTCCAGACGAATTTGTGGATAAAAACAGCTAATCTTCGACCGCGGACCGGGGTTTGTTTACATTGGGTTCTACGCGCTGGACCTGACTAAGATCAACTGTTGTCAATTAGACTGAGAAGAATTTAGAGAATCGCGAACTAGGACGATAACAATGCACAAAGTGAGAAGGTCTGTTCAGAAAATGAACCCAAAAGAGCGTAACGACACATTTAGCTAAATATGTTTCGTATTAAGTACACTTAAAAACACTACACAGTGCACACGCAGACACACTACTTTGGAACAGCACCGCGGTCCTTTGACTCAACTCACGTGTCTCCACAGCGCCATCTGTCGACTGTCATCTAATACTTCGCATGGCCAGAGACTCGCAAGTGTCAAGTTGTAGCCAATCAGAGAACGTGGTTCGCTTGTTATCGACCAATCAGAACAATGAATGCTCAAAAAATAACTCCCATTTGATTTACAGGCACATGATTTGCTGCGTGCGCGAGTGCACATGCACGCTTGCCTTTGGCATATTTAATTTGGTCATTTTTACAATACTAATTTGACTAAACGACAAACGTCATTTTTAATGACTTTAAATCTATATGTAAATGCTATTTTTTATCTTTCAAAGGGCCATTTTTTCCCCAAACGTTTTCATGTTAATCAAACCATTATGCCATCTGGTGGATAAAGATGAGGATTACATAGAGCTGAATATATGGGGAACTTTCTGTGTTTGACTTTGAAGAGTCGACTCATGTGTCATCATCACCACCACCAGTATATCAAAGTTTAAGTAAATAAATTCATAGATAATCTTTTTTGACTCAAAGTTCTATACAGCATTTTAGTGCTAAGTTTCAGAAAGGCACTTTGTGTAGAAAACCCAGGTAAATTGTGACAGATTATGATTTTTTCTTCTTAAAGAGTGTTTTGAACAGAACAAACAACACATTAATTAGTGAAGTGTAATTTATTCATAAAAATTTCAGTAACTTATTCAAAAGCCTGTTTACACATATCAAAGACTTCCAAATATCACACAACGTAGTACTTACTTCACAACCCTCAAAACCAACATTCATGTTATCCAAAAGTGGCTCATTTTTTAGCATGTCCCATTATCCATTCATTGCCTATAAGGCTAGTGCACTCCACACAATTTTGCATTTGGCATTAAAATCTTTTCAATTACAGTGTTTTAGTGGAACCAACACAAAATCATCACTGTTATATCAAATGAGAAAGCCACACTGAAATAAAGATGAGCATTGTTGTGATTAGATGTGTTTTCTTTAAACAATATTTAATATTAGTGTCCACAGGACAGGATATTAGCATGATTTTCTAAAGTAGCTTTGTAGTTGTAATAGGATTTACTCATGTTTGCTTTAGGAATTTCCTGCTTGTAAGCTAGAAGTCTTTGACTGTATATAAGCGTACAATGTTAAATAAATAATGAGCTTAGCACTAAAGCTAACTTAATAGTAAAACAACTATATACAAGGTCTTTTTGACCATATTTCACAATGATTTTAAGGCGGAGTGAAACAAAAAAACACTAAGAGAAAAAGTTACACTGCTAGTATGATGTGAAGCATGTGAAGAAAATGAGCATTTTCAAACACAATTCTCCAAGTAATTCATCTTGATCCAACTCCATAAAATAGTGTCTGTTCAAACATTTAAAAAATATTTGGTCAGCTGATTGGCTATAAATATTCAAACAAGAAAACTAACAATTATCTAATAAAAATGTTCCTAGAAGGTGCTTTACACAAATAAAAAAACATTGTTTGTTAGATAAAAGCAAGAAGAGGCACTATTATACACAATGACATCTTTAGACTTCAAGAAACACAGTGTGGATTATGGTTTACATGAATACATAGTGTAATGACAGATTACTTTCGGTCCACAAATCTAAGGTTGATGGGTGCACCTGGACAGAGCAGGCCATGAGTCTTGGCACGCACATCGGTGGTCTGGGAAGACACCTCAATATGGAACTTCTGCAGTAGCTGTGATAGAGAACAACATCAGTACACCATTAGACAAGAGAATTACAATATATATATATGACAGCTGTAAAGACAACAAATATGTCTTTATTGCAACAATATGTATAACAATAGCATGGATATTTGCTATCCCCCACTTCTTTTGGTAAGGTCCATGAAAAATAGCACTGTTATGGTTTGGATATTGCTTGTTGCTGCCCAGCAAACAAATTTAGGTTCTGGGAACGTTAGTTTTTGGTTCCCAGAACGTTCCTAGAACTTTCCCTTAAGGTTCTTTCCCTTAATTTTTATAACATTCGTGGAACCTAAAAATAACCTACATGGAACGTTCCTAATTCCTATAACGTTCTAGTTTGGATCCCAAAAAAATAACCTCATGGGACCATTCGGGAACGTTAGTGGAACGTTCTGTGTTTGCTGGGTGACTTTTGAGAGACATATAAAAACACACACACACCTGTGTGAGAGCCAGATGCATCTCGAGCTCAGCTATTCTCCTCCCGATGCAGCTGCGGATGCCGTAGCCAAACGGGATGGAGCCGAAGTTGTCGACGCGGTCGGAGGCATCCTTGCGGATCCAGCGATCTGGACGGAATTCTCCAGGACGGGGAAAGTTCTCCTCATCCACTGAGGTGGAGTAATGACACAGAGCCAGCTGAGTCTGCGAACAAAGGAAGTTGTTGGTTATTGATTTTTATTTATATATAGTTTGTGTTTTTAGCATTTTACTGAGGCCCCCTAGTGGGTTATTCACTTATTGCAGAACAACCATATCATTTTAACGCGATTAACACAGTGAAATCGTTTTCTAGGCACATCCTATCTATGTAAACGTAATTTATAAATCTAGAAGTGTAGGAAAGACATGAAGGCATGAAGCAATTCTCTACTTTTCATGGGATGTTTATGGAAAATATGCATACACATAGTCAAATGATATGCTCTTACCCCTTTAGGAATGAAATAACCTCCGATGATCAGATCATCCTGTGTAACGCGTCCGTTTCCAGGGAGAACAGGGAAAAGCCTGCATGTGTTAAAGAGACGGAGGGAAGTGTTTATGTAACAACACCATGCGTTCTGCAGATCTCTTGATCTGATAGTGTTCATTTCTTGATTACTGTATATAAATAACCAGAATTTGTATTTTTGGGCCTTTTAACAGTGCTGGGCATAGCTTACCTGAGCGTCTCTTTGACAAGCCCTCTAATAAGGGGCAGATAAGCAACATCCTCTCCAGTTGGGACGCGCCCACCCAGCACTCTGTCCACTTCCTCAAAAATCTCCTGCTGTACTGTGGGATGTCTTGCCAGAAGGTATGTGCTCCATGAGAGTGTGAAAGAGGTCTGCAGAGGGTAAGAGAGTACAAAATGTCAAGATTAGTAATATCAACTCTATATAATTCCTTTGTCTGCTGAAGAATGTCTCTACTACAGGGTCGCGAATGCAAAATCCCCCCATAATTCAAGATATGGGGGAAAATACCCCTGTATTTAGTTGTCGTTTTATTTATAACATATGATAAGCTTGTTGTTTTTCCAAAGTATGAACATGATGCATATGTGATATTGATTTATACGAGTTCAATAAACAAGAAGTCACATTTTAGACACAATATCGTTCGTTTTTGAGGTATTTCAGCAACTAAAATAGTCCCAAAGCTACAGTAGCATTGTCGCACGTCTATTGCAGTGTTTCTTTACTGAGCGAGTTTGCATTTTTCACCAAATCAGTTTAATAACTGATTTAATGTCTCACACTTGCATTGTTCCTGATAGAATGAATCAACCATTTTAAACAAATTGGTTGAATGAATGATTCAATGACTCACTCATTAAGACAAAAAAAAAACAACAACAAAAAAGTCATATTTCCTCATTCACAATTTAATATTTACTACATTAACCTCATAACATTACTTATTATGAAATTGTTATTGGAGTTAAAATTCAGATGCCGTTTCCGTTTCTGTGCCACTTTACATCTGGCAGTGCAAAGAGGGAATTTGTTGATGCTGGTTTCATTTAATTGTTAAATTCAATTATAATAATAAGACATTGTGACTGTTAAATTTTTTTAAGGACTCTAAAAAGGTAAATTAACCACTGATACCACACCACCACACACATTTAGCTCCTTCATCATCCTGTAATGAAACACCTGCCATGCTTCTCTCCATTCATCATTCATTTTAACTCGGATGCTGTTGTCATGTGTGTTCAGCTCCAGTGATTACAAAGCCTTTTCTTTTTGGGTGACTGATTCCTTTTTTAAGCGTTAACCCGTAACAGGCACCTTGCCACACAGAGGCGAACAGAGAGACAGACGGGCAGAAAGGGAACGATTACATGACAGATTTTGGCTCACGATTGCTAATCTGATCCTATGTCTGAAAGAGAAAGAGAGGGAAAGATGAAAGGGGAAGAGGATGCCAACAGACGCGTCAGTGAAATGGGAGAGTCTTGGTGGGTCTTGTTTATTGTGGGTGAGACGTATGGGGAGAGGTCAGCGTGAGGTCGGGTGAACACTGAGGTTTCCATGGAGACCACGGACACCCGTTACGATCTGACCATTTGAAAAGAGTTCACGGGAAGAGGAATTGAGGACTCATGAGACGGCTAAGACTCATGAGACAGTTTGTTTATCTTCACCATTAAAGGGGTGGTTCAGGATTTTGGACATCGGGCCTCATTTCCAAGTTAGCCTTAGTGTTATTTATCAGTGGAGACAGTTTTTAAAAACTTTCATCCAGTCGTTCCAGTTGCATAGTTCGCCGGTGCTAGGCAAGCGCAAGTCAATGGTAACTGCTAGCTGGCCATTAAAAACAGTTTTACCCACTCCACAAATAAAAGCAAATAAATGGACTGGTCTGTTTGAAAATGATAATTTGAAAAAAATTAAAAGTTTTGAAAACTGTCTATATTTATAATTATAACTGTCTATATCTATAACATTATAATGCAACTTATTTGTCCTATATTTATAGAATAGTAAAGTACGCCTAATCAATGACTGTACCACATAGACTAGATATATAAAGTGAACCATGGATTTGTTTAGTATATAATACGTTTTATTTTTAATCTAAACAAATAAAACGTATTGCATTCAAAACTCGTTGGCTTAGAGAATGCATTTGAAGAAAAATAAACAGTTTTCTGTAGCCTTGTGTGAACTTATTCAATAGAATTAGACTTCTAGAATGTTCTTTCAAGTGCAAAAAATATATATTTTTAATTTAGTCGTTTTTCTTATCATAGCCAACAAATGTCTTCGGAAACTCCTTTTCAGTTTCGGAAACGCA